ATCAGTTAAATGACGAAAAATTAGGTGTCTATTTACTTGTGACCACTCAGTGTATATTGTTTTGAGCTTTAAGCTATTTAAGATAAACAACTGTAAGTTTCTGTTACAATTTGCAGTCATTCTAAGAAGAAAAAAGGGTAATTTTAGATTTATTTATGGTGGTAACAAGGTCGGTCAAATTAACCAAATGTATATAGAGTTATGGTAGAGAATGTTTTTCTGAAAAAAAAAGTTTGGTATTTTTTATGAGGTTTTAGAGATTACATAAACGAAATTTGACAATTTTCAGATATAGAAAAGTATTTTTAATCTTAACATGAAAATCACTTTGCACTTGGAGCAGTCAACACTTTAGCTCCATATATATTCATGGAGAAATGTTTAGTAAAAATAATTAAAGATTTATATCTTTTTTGTGTACAAAAGACACGTAATGTTTACTGAAAACTTGCAAATTTCATTAAGATACACAAAACATGTTAAAAGCTATAGTATGGAAATTATGATGGTCACTTTGGGGTCGTGAGCTTGGTTGAATTGGCTGAGCCTGTAGAGAAAAAGTTAAATATCTTCAATTACAGTGGACTTGGAGTTCTAAAATCTTGAAGTTAAAAAATGTGTACATATGGAAATATCACTGCATGGTGGAAACACTTATGGAATAGCTTCAGATGGTAGATTTATTTGTCATTTTGGGTTATTGTGATATTCCAATGTGGTACAGTACATCCTCTTATATATATATATATATATATATATGTATATATATATGTATAGCGATTCTCGTTCAGCGCTGCCCTCTATATACAATAAAAAATATGCATGCCACAAGCCTTCTACTCCCCTCCATTGGAATTGACTGATTCCAGTGCATCTGTCATAAATAATCATGCATCAACTCTCCACCAATAAGAGTGAGACATACTCTCATGACACGTGTAACTCCCTCTATTCAATTCCACTTTACTATCACTTCTCGTTTGACAGTACTCATTTTCAGGTGTTTTCTTTTAGTGCTCTTCATGATTTTAATAGTTTAATTTTCGAAGTGGGATTTCTTCTTTTTTTCTTTTTATATTCACATTGAAGAAATTTTTAATTTAACTTAATTTCCCAGTCTTTATTTTTTCTCACACTCGTATATTTTACATCAAACACTTTTGCTTAATGTACATATTTCTACAATGAATTCTGAGATTCATGTTTCCACTTTGAGTGTTATACCTCTAGCACTATTTTCACAGGCTGTAGGTGAGGGAGACTCGTCATTGGATTTATTTGCTATTATCCATCAAGAGATTGATTGTTATATGGGTCAACCTTCTTCTCCTGAACAAGCTGAACCTGTTCAGGCTGATGAAGAGTTGATAGCCTTTTTACACATTTATGACACATCTACGGCCCATAGTTTCGTTACATCATTATCAATGTTCAATGAAAGAATTAATGCCGAGTATCAGCACGCCTTTTCTAAAAGCCTGAAAGAACTCACCGATCAACCGTAAGTGGTGTTGATTGGTATCATGATGGCAAAGTTATTTTATGGTGATTCGTAGATGCTAACAATGGAATAAGACTCATTCATAAATGCTTCTGATCTAACCTTTGTAAAATTGTCTCTTCATTACTCTGAGGCACACTTGTTTTTCCCTACCCCTCCTGCAGAATCAGCTAATCCTAATACGGTATTTTTCAACATGATTTCTCAGGTATGTTATGTTTTATCCAATTCACTGTTTTTCTATGATTCCTTATTACCTCCATGTTGACTTGTTTGTCACCTTCAGCTCTCACTTTACGCACATAGTTTCACTGTAGTTGTGATTTTTTGGGTTGTGATGCGACCTTATCCTGGGTATATTTACCGCCTTTTTGAGATTTCTGTATTTTTTCTTTGGTGATATGTTTCCTCTTTGGTTGCACGTTTGTCGCAGTTGGAGCCATGACACGTCCCTATTCCTTTCCTTTCCTGGTTCTTATCTACTCATCCCTGTGCCCCTTCCAGGGGTTTCTTATCTCGTTGTTTTATTCAACATTGATGGGCATGTTGCCAACAATACTGGATACTAACCAGAGGGTTCTGGTCCAGTGGGAGCTTGACTATATTATATTGTTACCCTTTAGTGATCTTTCACTACAGTTCCATAGGTTCTTCAGGTTTTATTAGAGAGACTTGTCCTACTATTTCTTTCCCCACCTCCTTAGTCCCTGGTACCCTTTTCCTTCCCCATGACTTTAGATCCTGTCACCAGCCTGCATCTGTCCAAGGAGGTACAAGATTTTCTGTCTCGACAGGCCGTTGTACCTGTTCATCATCAGGCTTTTATTCTGTGCTGTTTCTTGACCTCGCACCAAACTGGAGACTGGCAGCCTGTACTAGGTTTGTCCCACCTCATTCTAATTTTAAATCTGCCCCGTTTTACCTTGGAGTCGTTTCTCACCCTTAGGTGGGCTATTTCTCCAGATTTATAAATGACAAAGAGAAATATCGCGAATGATTATTTGCATATCCCAATATTTTGTCACTTGTGGCCCCCTCTTTGGTTTATTCTCTATGTGGTGGTTTCTCTGTTTCGTGCACTACTCTTTTGACTTGTTTTGGCCTGTATTTTTTGTCGGGCGTTCAGAGCATTCATTTTTCACTTATATGCTCTTGGGTTGCACTTTCCTCTTTCTTTAGTTTGACTGGCTGCTGTTCACTCGTTCCTAAAACAGAAGTCTACCTGTTACCCTTATCACCTGTTCATGGAAGCAGCTATAATGGACTATTAATCAAGTTGAAGAAATCCTTACTGTAACCTATCCAATATCTTGTCCATTTGGGTGTTATTGTTTTTTCTACACTCATCTCAGTCAGGCTTGCCCTTCTCCTCTTCGAGTTTGTTCTATGGGTTTTCAGTTAGATTACAGCTCAGGATGTTCTATCACTTATGGGGATGTAATCTTCCATGGTAGCTCTTATCCCCTTAGGTCAGGCTCATATGTGGGCTCTTTCGTGGTTTTTTCATGACCAGTGGAATTTCTCAGTGATCCTTTGTTGGTTCTTATTAACCTTCCTCCTACACTTATCATTGATCGACATTGGTGGTTAGATATGACTCACACATCTGTGTGTATCCTGCTTCTTCCTCCTCATCCGGTTTTTCCACATTTCATGGACGTGTGTGTGGGTTGATTGACTGGTAGATTTGGGGTTTTTGGTCTGCGACTGAGAGGCCTTATCCTATCAATATCCTGGAGATTCTTGCTGTAGATTGTGTTTTGGTTCATTTTCTTTACCTGGCCAGAAATCATCTGGTAATGATCCATTCCAACTTGTCTTCAGTGGTTGTTTATCTCAATCATCAGGGTGGCATCTGTTCTCAATCCTTCTGTATTTATATATTGGATCTTCTTTTTGGACTCACACACACGATATTCCTATCATTGTGTGTCATGTTCTGGGTGCCTTTGCTTTTGTTGAGGATCGGATTCTTGTCCAGACAAAATTTATCTGACAGAGCGGTCTCTCGATCCTTTTGTTTTCCAGTGGCTTTATCTTCAGTGGGGTACTCTTCATACTGAGGCTTTTGCTACATCCCTTAACCACAAATTGCCTTGGTTTTGGTCTCCGGTTCCTTGTCTTCTTTCTCTGGCTATTCATATTTTCAGCCAGGATTGGACCTAGAAATTTGTCTATCCTCCCATTCTCCTTCTTCTCTGGATGATTTAGTTCATCCTTGATTCTCTGTGTTCAGTCCTTCTGATAGCTCTTTCCTGACCATCTCAGCTGTGGTTACTGTGGCTTCTCCAGCTCCAACTTTCTCCTCCGTTACCTATCCTCTATCTCCATCCCTTCTTTGCCACTCTGAGTCACTGATGTTTCATCCAGACCTTCCTGTCCTCTGTCTTCACACCTGGGTTTTCTCTGGTCATTGGTGAGGTGATCCTGACAGTTAGCCCTTGTTTCATTTGCCCTTCCTACATGGAAGTTTCTCAATGCAAATGGAATTTTTCAGTCATTGGTTTCTGGGTCCAGGGTTTTCCCCTGATCAACCCACTGTTATTAGTCATGCAGAATTCCTATCTTGACTTTTCGTTTGGGGGGGTCTTC